CCGCCGCATCCAGCCGCGCCCGGGAGGGCGGGCGAGCGGTGGCGGCCGCTGCGCTGGCTCACCGGCGGCGAAGGCTGCGGCCACCGCGCGGGCTCCTCTGTCGCGGTTACTGGAGCTAAGTCTAACCTCACGTCTCGCCACGCGCCGCTGCACTCGCTGGCCAGTAGCGCCGGGCGCTTTTTACGTGCTTTATATTTGCATCACAATGGAGGGTCCAATGACGCACGCACTGGCGACCCGGCGATTGGGTGGTGCCCACGTGGGGGCGGGGCGCCGAGGACGGGGCGTGTCTCAGGCGGCGGCGTGCTTCGCGGCAGGGGGTGTTAGTCGCCTGCCCTGCGGGGGTGGAGGAAGCCAGGTGGTCTAGAGTGGGTCCTGCTCACACCGCCGCTATCGCCGCTTCTGTATGAGAGTGCCCCCCTACCATCCGCCTTCTGGTCCCTCGGCGTTCTCTCCGCTGTGGTCACACCCACCCTCCCTTCAGCCACCTGGGGAATTCCAAACTACCTTGGGGTGTGGGTGGAAGACGGGATTCTGAGGCTCAGGCCACGGGTACGGAGAAGCGATAGCTCAGGGACAGCCTGGTCCTGGGACATACCCTAGGAAAGTTGCCATCTCGCTTGGCGTGGGGGAGGGTCAACACCCCCCTTGCCCTTGGGTGGTGGGGTCTGCGTTCAGCAAGCCCCGGCTGTCACCCACCTGGCATTGAATCCCCACCTTGATTTCCCACGATTTACAACAACCCCCAGGTCTGAGGCCAGCTAACAGCTAAGGAAGTAGAGGTCCGGGAGCGTCTTTTGGGCCCTTGAAACCGCGGTGAATGGAGAGTAGTCTCTGGCTTACCTCCTTCCACCGTGCCCCACCCCCCATCAGCATGGGAGCAGGACCTGCAAGGCCTGGCCTGGTGAACTAACTGCCCAGGTACAGCGAGGGCTGACCTGGAACGGAAGTCTGGAAGGACTGTTGCAAGCCATGAAAACCTGTTTTATTGACCTGGGAGGCAGAACTAGCCCAATTTCCTCATTAGGGTTCTGGTTTCTAACTCCTCGGGTGGTTGCTGCAGAGGAAGGAGCAAGCGCCTCGCCACTGCCTCTGAGTGCTGAGGCCCGGGAGGGCGGAGCACGCCGCCACTTGCTCTGCTGCGGAAGCGAAGCTGGGCGGGAAAGCCAGGCCCTAGGCCTGGGAAGCCCACCCTGCCCTGTCCACTCAGGGAGTGGGGTGGGGCACCCCCATGCCCAGCACCCACATGTGTATGACTCCGCCCAGCTTGGTGCTCTGGGAGGGGTCACAGCCAAACCGGCAGGAAAAACCGGGCGAGGCCAACAGTGTTTGCTAGCTGCCTCCGGTCTGCTGCCCCCAGACCCGACCCTGCTGACTTGGACAGGGTCAAGCTGCCCCTTGGGGTCCCTGGTTTCCTGGCGACTAGGCCGTCTGATGCGGGGCCTGGGAGCTGAGACCCTGGAGGACTGAGAGGGGCTGGGGGGGCTGGGGGGGAGTATTTAAAGGCAGTCTGGCTCTGTCCAGGCCTGTCCCCACCCCCAGGAGCTCTTGGGCTGGTGGCTCAGAGCTCAGAAGGAGACCTTATCTAGTCGCAGATGAGGGGCAGGGGCTGAGGCATGAAACCCTGGACAGGGCAGGGGGTCCCATTGCCTCTAGGCGTGCAAGCCTTCCTGCCGTGGTGGAGTGCCTCATCGCCTAAGGACCCTCTTTGGGCCCTGGTGGGTGTGGTTCCTGGAGCAGCTGTGGTCAGGTGGTGCCCACACAGCCCGGCTGTGGTCCCATGGCTGTGGGAAAGCCTGTTCATTCAGCCCAGGGGGGGCTGTAGGGAGGGACCACGATCCCAGAAACTGTCCAACCAACCTAGGGCCCAGAACCTACTGCTGCCCCACCCCCATCTCACCCAGATGGGGGAAAAAAGGGGAGGTGGGTGATCCAGGGGGTCAAACCTCACGGTGACCCTGTTCTAGACTTGCTGGGCTGCTGTGAATGGAGCCTGGGGCCAAGCTCAAACCTGCTGGGCCAGGTCCTGGCCTGCCAACCACTGCTGCCCACTGCCCACTCCTCCCTGGACACTGGCCAAGGCCAGAGATTGTAAGGGAACACAGGTGGGGGCAGGGCTAGGTCTGGTCATGGGGGTACTGAGGGTGGAGCTGTGCAGCTCCTCCGGCCCTCAGCTGACTTCTTCCTCCCAGGTGGGCCCAGCCAAGCGGGGGAAGGGTGTCCGTGGGCCCTGAGGCCCAGCACGCAGAGCCTGGGAGAAAAGTCCCTTTGACGCCCTGCGTCTAGAGGCAGACAAAGGGCTCTGTGAGCCCCGTGTGGGAACTGGGCCCCACCATGGGCCGTGGAGTCGGCGGCCTGGCGGGTGCCCCGGCCGGGCACATTGGCGGAGAACCAGCATGGCCCGCAGGCTGGGATCCTCCCCCATCATCAGCAGGGAAAGGGACCTCTGTCCTGAGCCCACGTCCACAGGGTTGTCAGATCTGGGAACCGTCCACAGGGTTGTCAGATCTGGGAACCGCAGGCTCAGCCAAGGACAGAGGCCAAGCAGGAGCGAGTGCATCTTCCGTGAGGACATTTGTCCCAAATGGGCCAGCCAGTGGGAGGGGTGGCTGTGAGCCCCAGCATGGGTCCTTGTGGTCCTTAATGTGGCCCGCTGCCCTCCAGGACCAGACCGGACTCGCGTTCTGGCAAACAGAACCAAGCCCTGTCGGCCTCAGCCTGGCCATTAGGCCCTCTGGGTACCCTGACAGCTGCCCCTCACACTGGTCTGGCTTGGACCCCAACATGGGGGAATTCGAAAGGGCCCCCTTCCTGTCCTTCCTAGGTCCCTGGCCCAGCCACCTTCAAGGCGCTGGGCAGGGAAGGGAGGAGGGGGTGAGTGGCTGGGCAGTGGGGGCGGGGCCTCCAGCGAATTCATTAAAATGTGTCGGGGAGCGTGGGAAAGAGGAGAGCGTTTCTTCCCAGCAGCCCAGACACCTGGTGGTAGAAGGACCGTGAGAGGGCAGAGATCAAATAACAAACACGGCCAGCCAGGCCTCCGAGGAAGGACGCCCCGGGCAGGAACTGCGGCAGACAATCGCTACACAGGCGGCCGGCCGTTGGGGCAGCCTGGTACCCAGGCCAGAGTCCACCCGTCAGTTAGTCGCTGCCGGTCAGGCCTGCCCCTGGGGTTGGGAGAGGGTCACCAGGCTGAGGAGAAGGACCTGGCCCTGGCGGGTGGCCACCATCTGCAATCGGGTTCCCGCCCTCCTCAGCCTGTATCTGCCCAGGGCCAGAGCAGGGCCTCCAGGATGCAGCTGGGCGGAGAGGACCAGCTCCCTGGGCGGCTTCCTCTTGGTCCTGCTGAGGGGGAGGGAGGTAGTCGCAGGCCTGCCTCTGCAGCACAGGACGTAGCGGCGGGCCACTCCCTGGGGGACAGCCCCTCAGTCTCACTGGGTGCCCACCTGAGAGCCCCAGCAGAATTCAGGGGGAGGGCCTCACTGTTCCTCCATCTCTGACTGTCACCCAAGGTGAGGCTGTGGGCTCAGCCAGGGAACCCGGAGAAGACCCCCAGCCTCCAGCCAGCACTCCTCAGGCCTGAGTTCTGGCCCCGCTGCTCTGACAAAGTGGGTGGACAGATGGCAGCCTTGGGAGGGTCCGGAGGCCCTGCAGGTATAGGACCCTGGGCCAAAGGTGGCCCGAGGTTTCCGCCCAGTGCACCCGTCTGGTTTCCTCTCCAGGCAGGAACGGGATGTGTGGCAGCGGAGGAGGGGAGACACAGGAGCAGGCCGGCCTCTACCTGAGACATTTGCACACATCCCACAAGCCCCAGCTCCTACCTGGTGCCCCCTCCCCTGAACCCTCTGCAAGGCGCCCATGCTCACTGACTTCCAGAGAGGGTCAGGTCTGAGCCAAGTGCCTGGAATATGTGCTGTTTGCTCACCAGAAGGGGTCCCCTGGCGGTGAGGGGTAGGGCAGGAACAGAGGTTGAAAGGATGGCCAACTTCCAGGAGGCACAGTGACCACCTCCCACACCCAGGGGCCTGTATCCTCTTCCCCCAGGAAGTCCCTCTCTCCGTCTGCCTTCTGGGAGCCCACTCAGATCCCGCAGTCCCCCCCACTGACACTCTTAGGGGCAGTAGGGATGGACCACATAGAACACGGTGTCACTCGGTCGGGCTCTGTGCCATTTCCTCGGTAGTCCTGAACCTTATGGAAAGATGCATGGGTAGCCTTCAGGAGTACCTCCAAGGCCATCTTTATTGTAGGACAGCTCGGGCTGTCTGGGTGGGGCTGTCAGCGGGGCTGCTGGTCCCCAGGAGATCTCTGAACTGCTCGGTCACACGGCCCAGGTGGGAGCCCTCCCAGAAGACTTTGCCACAGCCTGTGCAGCAATAGAAGGACCACTGGCCCGGGCGCCGCAGCACGCCTGTAGGGACCCCCGCCAGCTGCAGCCGAGTACCGTTGCCCAGCGTGGCAGGTGTGATGGTCTGAAGGTCTGCTGTGTCCAGCCAGGGGCAGGGGTGGTCATAGACAGAGTCTCTGGACACTGGTTCTGGTGCTGGACATGGAGAGAAACCAGAGGTCATTGACGTACATCTCAAGCCCAAGTGGGGTCTTCTCCCAGAGTCCCTGTCCCACACAACCCTGTGTCCCGAGCCCCTGTCCCCTGTCCCCAGTCCCCCGGCCTTAGGGACCCCTCGGCCCATGAGAACTGAGTGCTAGGGGCCCCATGGAGAAGCAGCCTAATCCTTGAAAAGGGCCCAGGGCTTACCTGTCCCCTGCCTGTCCTTCCTTGGGGTGGCCTGAGTGTCACCTGGGGACAAGGATGGCAGTGGGTCATAGGACTGTCCTGTATCCCTCAGTAGGCTGTGAGCATGTCCCCAGCCCCCAGGCTTGCCAGTGGCAGGGAGGGCTAAGGGCAGAAGGTCTCGGAGGGTCTGTACCAGCCTCCACTCCCTCCCACGGGAACTCACACCTTGGAAAGTTCTTGGGGCTCAAAGGTCCCTGGGAAACACATTCTGGGCTCGAGATGGACCGATAAGGGCACTTGGGGGCCTGAGAACGTTGCGGGTGCGGGTGGGGGCGGCCCGTTTGTGGCGATGAGCAGATAAGCCTTCTGCCAAGGAGCTGGTTTCGCAACCAGCCAGCACCGGGCTGGGGCGGGCAGGGCCGGGGGTGGTGCGGCTGGCTGGGGAGCCGCTCAGGAAGTGGTGGGCAGTGGCTGCGAGGACCAGCAGTAGTCGAGAGACCTGTTTGCCAGTTCTACCTTGGGAGGTACCAGGTGAATGAGTCTTCACCAAGGGTGAACCTCTAAGGCGGCAACACCAATCCGTGGCCCCGGAATAGGATTACCTTTAAACTGGATCACAACCCACTGGGCAGGACAGGGGGACACACACAGCATCAGGAGAGTGCTTTGGGTGGGGGGCTGCCTAGTTGGACCCTTGTGGCCGTGCTTGGCTCAGAGTTGTTAGAGGGGGCAAACCCCCCCCGCCCCCCCCCACTGACAGTGGGAATTCGCTCAGGGCAGCTTCCCATGGGGAAGAGAAGAGGTAAGGCTGGGGGCTGGAGAGCCCCTCAGATCTCCTGACAGGGTCCTCCCGGGTAGGGATGGGAGGACTTTTGGCGGACAGCAGGTACCCACTCGCCTTCCTATTAGTTCAGGTGAGCTTACGCTTGGGTGTGCTTGGGTGTGTGTCTGAGCATGCACACAGAGGTAGCGGTGCAGCGCCCACGGGGGAGAGAGGGTGCTGAGGCAGGGGTGCCGGTCACTACAGACCCATGTGAGTCCTCACCTGTGCCACTGGGGCCTTCATAGTGACCGTTGAGTTGCATGAGATGCTCCATCGTGTCCTTGGAGACTTTCAGATACTGGTCACAGTTACACACCTGAGGGGCACAGAGTTAGTCCTGAGATGCACCCACAGGTGCTCCGCAGCGCTCTACTCTCTCCAACACCGTTGCCCTCGAGGGCAGGCCCAGGACCGTCCAGGGCTCAGGTGCACCGATTCCTTGATGACACCTAGCCCGGCCCAGGCCCCAGGCACTGTCAGAAGGTGACCCACCAGGGCATCAGAACACCAGCTGAGAAGTTCAGAGAGTGACCATGTCTAGTGACCCCCGAGTGTCCTGTGAATAAACGTGGGGTGGGGGCACTGAGGCCAGGTGCAGCCAGCACCCATCAACCTCACCTCTAGCAGTGACCAGAGGTGGACTGCCAGTCCTGCTGCCTGCCCACCAGCCACGCCAGGTCCTGGTCACTGCCCACCAAGGAGACTGGCCTAGACCCTAGCATCCCCTTGCAAGCCGGGACTGAAGCTGATTCCCACACGGGTGCAGCAGGTGCTCCGGAGACTTGCACGAATCCCAGCCCAGGGATCGGGGCCAAGGGCAGGGCCCAGGAACTTCCAGGACCGCCCATGCAGAGGTGGTGGGAGGGGGCCTGGGTCCTGCGGGAGCCCTGGGATGGATGACACAGTACCTTCAGGCCACCACCGTGGGGACCGGACCTCAGCATGCCCACAGCAGGGCGCGGTTTGTCCTCCCTCAGTGCACTTTCTCACGGGCGTTTCAATGCTGTGTCTCTACTGGATGGAGCCCGGTTGGGCAGTTCCCTTAGCAGGACCCTCCCTCTGCTGCTGGTCCCCTTGGCCACCTCCCCCAGTCCCAGGAAGGCCTCCACACAGCCTGAACTAGCGATGGAGGCCACTGGGATGTACCCTTGTGGGTCACAAGTCCAGGGGGCTCCCCGAGACTACGATCCAGTAAAGGGCCCCTCCAGGCTTTGCTGGGGAAGGGCAGGGCATGAGTGGGCTCTTGCTCTTCCTCGGACACCCAGGGTGTCACTGCAGCAGTCCATTTGGCCCTAGGCTAGACAGGGTGCTAAGCTCCCCATGGGACCCAACCTGGGCCCAAGGCCGGCAGCTAGCAGGTGAGGGAGGGGTGGCGAGGGTCCGAGGTGGGCGGTCTGGCAGGCTGGCCAGCTCACACTGAGTCATTACCCGCCACAGACAAGCTTTGGGTCCGTTCCGCAAGGGCCTGGCCCCACCCTCGGGAACCACCGGGGCTGCTTTTCCCACGGCGGCCGCTGCCTGCTGGCGGGGCCCCACCGTCACCCTGAGCGGCCCCCTCCCTGGCTGGAAAGGCCGGTTTTGCCGCCCGCCCGCAGCGCCCGCCCTCGGATGTGCCTGGCCAACTGCCTGAGGGCCGTGCCTGGCACCAGGGCCTCCCCGTCCACCCCAGGGCCCTGTCCACCTGCTCTGGGTGGGCGGGCGGATGGCAGCTATGGTGTAAGGGAGTCTGCTGGTCCTAGTCTCTGAAGTTAGGGTCCAGCCGAAGGCACCCTGTCGGGGCAACTCTCCAGGAAATGCACTTGCTAGCCCGCTTTGGAGGGAGGTGGGCTTGTGGCAAGATCTCTATACAGGGATCTCTTGCTCTCCCACCTAGGGACTGAAAGGGGGGCCCGAGGGGCCCTTAGACAGAGGCCACCAGCCCACTGGATGCCTGCATGTTGGGGCTTGGCCCAGCCCCCCAAGCCTCCCTTCCCTGAAGTGTGGGAGCCCTAGGGCGGGGTGGCCTCCGCCCCAGAGCCAGGCTGGTGGGAAGGGCCAGGGGCGTGGGAGAGCCCAGGTGAGTTGGGGGCAGGAGGGGCTGGGAAGGCTCCTGGCTCTCAGTCCCAGGGGTCCGCCTTCGAACTGGGTTCCCACGGCTCCCACAGGCTGGCTACAGGAGGTGGCTGGGGCCAATGCCCCACTCAGCTCAGACTCTAGATGTTTCTGCCCTGGCTGGAGGGCCACCTCTTGGGACCAATCACCAGCCTGCTCCTGCCCCATAGCCAGGCAGCGTGCTGGGGCAGGGTGAGGCCCCACCGGGGTCCCCATTGGTGCCCCCTCCCCACCCCAGGCGCAACGAAGAGCATGGGAAAGGACTGCTCCAGCCACGTGGCCGGAACTTGGGTACAGTCCTGTAGGCGGCCCCTCACCTGAGCTCAGCAGGTGTTTGAGGAGGGGCTGCAGTGGACCTGGGTTACCTGCCAGTACCTCTGACCACAGGTGGGGACATGGTGGGTGAACAGAAAGTCTGGGAGCTACGCCCACAAGTGGCCTGCCCTCCGCACTCCGGGAGCCCAGAAATTCTCAGCCACACCTGGCACGGGAGTGAAGGTGATGACAGAGGTAGGGCTGAGCAAGAGGCCAGGTCATGGTGTTTATCCTGAACTGTGTGTCTCCAGGAATGTCTGTGTTACACCTGCCCTGGGTGTCCCCCTGTCCTGGGTGTACGAGTGCAGGTGTCTGCATGTGCACTCTGGGCAGCAGCGTGGTGGAGCGCATGGATGGCAGACAAGGCCCGGAAATGTGGTAGGCAGGACCACCCTCTCCCAGGGGTGAGGTCTGGGCCTCTCTGAGGGAAACTGAGGGTGGGAAGAGTGCTGGACACAGGGCCTGAGAGAGGGTCAGGAACTGGGGCACAGGAGCATGGCCTGATTGCCCCCAGGGGTGGGGGGGCTGTTCCCCCAGACCCAGCATGCAGACTGCACAGGAATCCCCCCACACTCCCCAGCCCAGCAGGTCCCCTGTACAGCCAGAGGTCTGGGTAGAGGACTCACGTCTACACTTAAGCCAAGCCATCAAAAAGGTCTGGTGAAGGGTGATGAAGACCTCCAGGTCTCTGGGGACCTTCCGCTCTAAACAAGGAGCCAGTGCCTCTCCATGTCCCACCACTAAGTAAGTATACCCCATGCAGTCCCCACCGACCCAGACCCAGTGAACTTCTCCAGGAGACCCGGCAGGTCTGCCATGATGGGGGTACTTGGGACTGTGGAGCTGTGAGCTGCTCGTGTTTACTGAGGCAACTTGGAGATGCTGAGGGCGCAAACGTGGAAAAGAGAAGATGGCCATACGCTGCGTCCAGGGGGCCTGCTGCACCTCTGACCTCGCCCACACTTTCCCCAGGGTGGGACTGGGCCAACAGCTCCGGCTATTTGCCATTTGGTCCCAGGCTGGCCTGTGGCCTGTCCTCGCTGACCCTCAGAACTGCCCCCAACAAATGGTCCATCCAGCAGGACCAAAGGGATGGATGAAAGGCACTGGTGCCTCGCTTGGGGGTTGGCCTGACACCTCCAGGAGGCGTCTGGTGTCCAGAGGAAGCAATCAGGCACCGCTAGCCACCGGCCTGTGTCTGCTCTACACCTCAGACTCCCACGATGGCCTGAAGGCTGTCTGGGAGGGAGCTGTAGGGTTTACCCACCGAGAAGCCGAGGCCAGGTCCCCAGGACGCAGTGTAGTGAGTACGGCTGGAGGAGGTTTTACCCCCTACCACAGTCCTCTCCTGCCCACTAAACCCAGCTCAATCCCCGCCATCCCCAGGCCAGTGACAACAGCTCGGGCAGGGGCCTCACCCCTGCCCTGCTCCTCTGGCCCAGGAAGGGCAGTTCCCACGGGCCTCAGCCCTCCCCCACCACTCACTGCCCCATCCCCTTTGTGTAGCCCTGACACGGGCTGCAAAGACAGAGTGGGGGAAGGGCTGTGCAGGGATGTCCCTCCATCAGCATTCAGTGTCCTCGAGCATGCTGAGAGAGTCCCCTATGGGACCACCCCTGAGCACGTACGTGTGTGTGTGTGTGTGTGTGTGTGTGTGTGTGATGAGCCCTGGAATTAGGTGGGGACGGGCATGCTTCCTACAAGCATCCAGTTACGTGGACTCACAGCGCTGACCATGCTGTGATGGGGTTTACACGCGGGCACAGGCCAAGGTTTGCATATAGATTAGCATCAGGAGCAAGCATGGGCTGTGTGGGTGTGACTGTATGTTCACATGTGTGACACGGGGTGTGCACGTGACTCTGTGTGTCTGACTCTATGGCCAGGAGCCTGTATCACACCATCAGGAGGGCTTTGGGGTGCGTCTTGGGGTCTACTTTAGGTCTTCCAGCCCAGATGCCATTTTCTGTGGGAACCTGGGAATCACCAGCTAACCAGTGAGCCTGCTCCCAAAAGACACGGAGGGGCCATGGGATTTGGGCCCTTACCAGAGGCGCTGGATTCAGAGGGCACAGGGGTTAGACTGAACTGACTCGCTTCATGCAGCCTCAAACCGCGTCTAGCATTTGTATCTACTAAATGGAGCCACCCACGCCCGCCTGCCAAGCTAAAGGGTCCCACATATAGATACAGCCAGCGGGTAGCAGCCAGCCGGGAATGTCTGGCCTAGGCCTCTCCTCGGGACCCCGGTTTGGTTTTGGTCAGCCCAGCCCACCCTTCTGTCCCGGGCGGCGTTACACACAAGCCAGGACGACGCAAAACTCCGGGCTCCCGCCTCAAGCCGGGATGGAGGGTCCCCCCATATGGAAGTTTCCCAGTCGACTCCTCCATCATCCTGGGGTCTCCAGCCCCTTTTTGGAGTCCCCAAGGCCGGTCCCCAGTCTCCTCTATCTATCCTGGGGTCCCCAAGAAACCCTCTTTACCTCACCCCGTCTGGGACTCCCGAGTCCCCCCCCTGCCCCCCAGTCTCGGTGGGGCGCGGCGCGCAGCGGCGGTTCCCAGACGGGGGAGGGGCGGCGCCGGCCGTGAGAACCCGCCAGCGGCCGGGCCGTGGGAAAGTGGGAGGAGGGGCGGCGCGAGAGGGCGGGGCGCGCCTGGGAACGGCCCCCGCCCCCGCCGCCGCCGCCGCCTTTGAAAGAGCCACTCAGCGGCGCCCGGCGGAGATTCAAAAGCCAACGGCCGCCCGCTCCGGGCTGGCTTCCCGCGCGAGGAGCGGGGCGGGGAGGGCGCTGGGGGGTGAGAGAAGGGGGGGACCCCGCTGGGGGGGCGAGGAGAGGAGCTGCGGGACTGGAAACCCAGTCTCCACGGGGGTGGAAAGAGGGAGGATGAAGCCCCCCCCAAGTTTCCCTG